CGTAGTCAATGTCACTGAACTGTGCATGTAGAAATTTTTGAAATGGTGTATCTTTGGCTATGTGTATTTTCACCAAAAAATAAAGAGGTTGAGAAGTTAGAGGGTTGATACGTTGTAGGGTTGTTAACCAATGTTATAAAACAACATGTGTACTTCTGTTTCATGAGAAACTATTTGTTCTGTAAGCCTTCACCTGAAGTACAATAAATAAAATAAAATTAAAAAAAAAAAGAATTCCAACACTGAACACCGTTGCCCCCAACACGAAATACTCCTACTATAATTCTACTACTATTATTATTCATTCATTTAAAAGAATCTGTGTGTTAAGAGTTTTTACATCATTTCATTTAATCATTAAAATAGCCTGTAAGCTTCATGGTCCAAGTATTTTCATTATTTCCCCATTTGTCAGTTGAGGAAATAACTCCAAGCTTCAGTATATGGTGAGGTATGCCACATACGATTATATTGGTTAAACTAGAACTTGAACCCAGGTCTTCTGACTGGTAACTCTGTGGTTTTCATGGAACCTTATTGTTAAGGATATGTTCGTCTGCTGTAGATCTGCTAATCTCTAAAGGCTTCTTATTTTTTAACTCTCTTTATAATGACAGGATTTTTCTTTTTATTGTACACTCATAATTTATACATTCACCCATTCATTCATTTATTCATTCAATGCGTACTTATTGAAACTCACTAAATATTAGGCCATGTACTAGGCCCTAGAAATACAGTAGAAAGCAAGACATATACCCCTACCTTCCTAGAATTTTCATTATAGTGAGTACAGACATTAACTAAAAAATTGCATAAAAATATTTACAATCAAAAACTCTGGGAAAAAATACTGATAAGTCCTATGAAGAAAAAGTGCAGGAGCCATTTAAGCAAATAACAGAGAGGAACTTGACTGAGTCTGGGGTTGGCTTGGTGGTTATCAGGAAAGGCATCCCTAAGGAAGTTACATTTAAGCTGAAATTTGAAGAGTGAACAGCAGTTAACTAGGTGAAGCGGCAAAGGGTAAAAGGGTACTACTACACTAAAGGAAGAGCATGGATGAAGGGATGAGCCCTCTCTTTTTCCATACCTCCCTCCTTCTCTTTCTTCCTTCCTTCCTATCACAGTTGATGATGATTCTTTCTCGTCATCACTGATTTTTAAAAAATATTTTAAGTTATAAATTAATCGTTACAAAGCATAGTATTAAATCTTTCTCTTTGCATTTTCTGAGAAAATGTTTATATCCTAAGATCCATCAGTTGTCAGGCAGTAAGGCCACTGAGGACATTAACTTTCCTGTTCTTAAGCCCATCAGAGCTTTTATGCTGACAGTTTTTACTGACTCAACGTGTTGAATCTTTTTTCCAAAAGGATGGTGATATATCTCTGCTAGAATAAATTAATATTTCCATCTAAACAGATTCATTTGGTGTATTGATTTTATCAGCTAATACATAATACTTCTTGGTTGAAAAATATAGTTCATCATTCTTTTTTAGTTCTATAATTATCAAAATTTTAGTGTGAGTACCTCATTTTTTAAGTACCACCCATTGTTATAAGTTATGAAATATGTTTACTAGGCACATACTAGAAATGGGTAAGACATTTAGCAAAGTAGAAGTGAAGGTTTGAAAAAAAAGTTGGCCAGAAAAAGCGAAGGATGAATAGTTCTTTGTCTTTATCCAGCGATTACTGATCACATTCATCAAGCAAAGGTGATGAGGTTTGCTTGGAATGACTCCAAGCCTCAGTGTGATGCTGGTGAAGCATTATTACAACAGAGAGACAGATGTAGAATAACAATACCATAGATTGCTTTTGTCAGATGAAATAGACTTCTCAAGCACATGTGTAACTGTACATGGTATGTTTATTTTTTTCCCACCACATCAGTTTTGATACACTTGAAAGTCAATATACTTTAGAAGCACCTGACCTTGGTCTGTATCTAGTACTGCTACATTCTTGTGTTATCTAGGGTGATTCTCTTAATCTCTCTGAGCCTCAATTACCTCATCTATAAAATTAAGATAATACTTAATGAAGTTATAATACTTGATATTCATAATAATGACCCTGAAACAGTGAAAGGCCTAGAAAGTCTGAATTATCAGAGAGAAATTATTCACTAATGTTTATAGTGTTAGCTTTATCTAGAATTGTAATGATTGTATCACTTTACTCCATTATTAAGACTATCTAATGAATCAAACACCCCATGACCTGACTATAGAGGAATAGAGTATATATGCACTGTGTTTATACTTGTGTATGCTATAATAGTATTACCTACAAGCCAGTGGAAATACATTTACAGTTATAAAGAAGACATGCATTCTGTTTGCCAGTGCTAGCCCGTGAGCAAAAGGTTAGCTAGCTTTTTTTCTTTTTCCCTGCCTAATACTTTTCTGTCCCTCTTTGAATTTAGGAGCATGTATCCTGTTTGGAAATCTTTTCTCGAGGGAACAATGCAGGTAGCCCAGTCTCGGATCAGTATATGTGAAAACTATAAAAACTTCATTTCTGAGCCTGCAAGGACAGTCAGAAGCTTAAAAGAACAGCAGCTAAAGAGGGTATTGTTTCAATTTCTGTCCTTTTCTTATATGCATTTTAATATATCAATGGTATATTTATAATCTGCAAATTATGTAAAATTTTATTTAAAACTTTGAACTTTTCTATAATGGTCACAAATGTTTCTGGTTGGCATTTTACTACGATTTTCTGATTTCAACATGTTCCCTCTAGCTACTGTATTTTATTAAATGTTAAAGGTGCGTATAATTTGAATCTGTGGACATTCTGAATGCTCACTAAACACTTCTTAGAAGTATCACTTTTTCAGCCTTACTCAAGCAAATGGATCTACTTAGTTTCACAATATGGTATAGTTTAGTGTTTATTAAAGTAGTTGCAATGTTTTTAATCCCACTAAGTCTTGAAAGGAAAACTTGGTGGCATAGTGGTTAAGTGCTATGGCTGATCACGAAAAGGTTGGCAGTTCAGATCCACCAGGGGTTCCTTGGAAATTCTTGAAAAAAAGGTTTACATTAATATGTCTTAGTTTCAACTTGGCTTACTTTCTGTTTTCCTGTTTTTTGCATAATAATTTAAAGAACATTGCCAAGTTTTGACCAAATGTAGTACACTTATGAAAGGTATCAGTGTACTCTGAAATTTAATTATATAGGTTACAAATGAGTAAAAGTTTTGAAATAGATGTATTTTCTCTGATTATACAGAAAACCAAAATTCATAGAAAAAATGTTTATTTAATATGAATTTTATGAAAAAAATTGCTGTTGAAAGTAGATGATTGACTCATGGACTTTTTGGAAATAGGGTTACAAAGATAGAGTTTATCATAATGCTTAATTGGTAATTAAAATTTTCTCATGAAGTGTTAATGTTGTAGAAAATCTTAAAGTAATTATTTAAGGAAGTAGTATTTCAGAAGCCAACTACTGTTTTGATTCTAATTGTCATTTGGATTTGCAGAGCTTGTTTTGACAAAAACTATTCTTTTCCTTGTTTGCCGAAGATGATTTCAGTAGCATGAAATCAATATGTATATCAAAACGTATATGTGTGTGTATAAAATTTTATGGAGCACTTACCTAATATCAGTTGGTTTTAACACTTGTATAAGGATGCATATGTTTTATCTTTGCCAGAAATTATCTCTTTCAAAACAGACATAATTAATAAACTATGTGACTACTGATGATTTTGAGTTGGAAGAAAATAAATTATGGGATATGTGTGTGTGTGTGTGTGTGTGTGTGTGTGTGTATATGCAAAGAGAAGGTGGAAGATGAGGTGGAGAATTAATACAGCATAACTTCCCACCTGGAAGAAAATGCTGCATTTCAAATAACCAGTACATTCACCAGATCTAATTGAATTGCCAGAAACTTTCACCTTTGTCAAGATCAGAGTATTTTGAAAGAGTTTAACTACCACTGGTGCTTTTCTCGTCCATTGGTGAAATAATCTGACCTGAATTTAACCAGCATCTCTGGGCAGAGACTGTACGGTGAGATTTGGCAAGGCCTTATATCTGTGAAGCCCAGGTGGCGCAGTGGTTAAGCAATCGGCTGCTAAGCCAAAGGTCGACAGTTCAAATCCACCAGCTGTTCCTTGGAAACCCTATGGGGCAGTTCTACTCTGTCCTGTAGGGTCACTATGAGTCAGAATCGACTCAGTGGCAACGGGTTTGGATCTTGTTTATATCTGTGAATTAGCTTGTTTCGTACTGTAACAACAACAGCAAAAAAAAACCAAACCTGTTGTTGTCAGGTCAATTTTGACTCATGGCCACCCCATGTGTAACAGAGTAGAACTGCCCCATGGGGTTTTCTCAACTGAAATCTTTATAGAAGCAGATCACCAGGGCTTTCTTTCACAGTGCCATTGAATGAGTTCAGACTGCCAACCTTTAGGTTAGTAGTTGAGTGCAAACTGTTCGAGCTACCCATAATTGTGTTTATGTTCTGTCTAAATAGTTATTAAACATTAAGAACATACGGAACATACTTGCTAGGACTCTGAGGTTACAGGTGACTAAAATTCACTTTAAACTGGCTTAAGCCAAGAAGAGAATATATTAATTAGCTTGTATAACTGAAAACTCCAAGACTTCAGGCATGGGTGGATCCAGGGGCTGAAATGATGAATTAGAGTTCAGTCTTTCTTCCCATGGCTTCATTCTTTAGCTACTATCTACATATGATGGCTCCCAAAGTCCCAGATTTACAGATTTTAAACTTTAGGAATTCCAGAGTTTCTATTTTCCCAAAAGTTCCAACAAAAATACCAGAATTGAGGCTTATTGGCTTAGGCTGTGTCACAGGTCTATACCCTGTGTCAGGTGTTACGGTCATCTTCACACGAACAACATGAACTAACAGTGGGGATAACATGATTCTCCTTAAGTCCGGTGTGCATTGTTCTTAAATGCCTTCAAACAGTTCTTTTTTTTTTACATGTATTTTATCTAACATGTACAGATTTTGTACTACAGGAAACTGAGCCAAGTTGCTCTGTCATTATCAAAACCGAATTTGACTTTTACAGATCTCCCTTCATAACATTTTATAGTTCATAATATTTTTAAAATTTTCTCTCTTTTGGCCATATTCTTTTATAGTACTTGGGGAGAAATCCAGATACATCACCATTAGGAAGGGTCTGACCATTGTGGAGATTATGAATATTGCATCATAGCATTTTCCAAATCATTTTCTGCATTATAAGTCAGAACAAGAGCCACAATAACTTAAGGCCTTTTGCCATTCTTATACTTAGCTGCGCTTTTGTCCATATCTTCCCCATTTATACTAAAGTTTACCTTCCTTGAAATAATTGTGATTCACAGACCTAGGTAGTAAATAGTAGAGCAGGAATTTGAATATACTACTTCCTAATTCCAAATTCTATACAATCTTTTAAAAAGTTTAATATTTAAACAAGTTTACAGGGAATTCCCTATAACTACTTCACCATAGTAAACTACCTCATTTCCTTGTTCCTTTTATTGTCTTCATTCTTATTATAGTTGTAACCAATACGTAGATCATGTTTTGGGATATCCTCTTTTCCCCATTCTCTCCATTTCCTAATCAATTGTTTCTATACCGCCTTCCTGATTGTTATTTTGAATGCTGAATAAATTTTCCATTTAATCGCTTTATTTAATCGTATCTCTTTTGTTGGACTTTGAGGTAATAGTTTTTGGATATTATCACTAAGTATGCATTAAAACTTAACTTTATTCTTTCAAATTATTTTTTAGGATAAATTTCCAGGAGCCTAATTACTGGGTTGGGTCAGAGAGCTTAGTAGTTTGCAGGACTTTGACGTATTATTGGCCCAGGTTACTTTTGTTTTTATTCCTGTCTTCAAGTGATTAGTAATTCTATCTACCCTAGTATCTGTCATATTCAGAGATCATACTTTTAATTTCTTCACTAGGATCTTGAGTTATTATATCAAAGTTTGTCATTATTTTATATTATTTCCTATCCACCATGTAAATTCTACACTCATTTCTATGTCTGCTCAATGCTGATAGCTCTTGGGAAAGAACTGGGCATATAGAGCATACCAAGACTTTTCTTCTCATAAGTATTATTAAACTTCATTTTTAAGTATGTAACTTTGTCCACCCCAGAAAAAATGAATTCCTACAGCAAAACTTTTTTTTAATTTTGGAAAGGGAATCCGAAATAATCTTTTCCTCTGCAAATTAAGTTTGATGACTTTTCTTTAATAAATATTTTTGGTATTTTGCTATGTGCAGAGCATGTTCCTTTGAAGAAGAACCCAAATTACTCTGATTTGAAACAGTCCACTTTGGTGATGGAAAACATTTGGTTGTGAATTTATTGAATGCTAGGGAAGAAAGGATCACAGAAGATCTTTTCATTGTGCACACAGGAGATTCCTAATACTGTTTGATAAACAATGTCCTAGAAACTTGTGTAAAGGGAAAAAAAGCCAGAGTTTTCTGGTGAGATTTTTGTGAAGACTTTTCAAAGATTTGAATTATCACAAAATACATCTGGTATTGTAGTACATGTAGAAAGTAATTTGGTTAATTAACAGCCCTTTATAGGTGAAAATGACTCAAATAATCTCCAGAAGATGTTTAGTCACCCAGGAATAAGGAGAGATAGATGTCTCATTCTTCAGGAGGTAGGGGTATAAGGAGTGGGTGGCTGTGTGTGTGCATATCTGCATGCATGTGTGCACATGCACAGGTACCCACGGGATTCACTTTGTGTGGATATTCTGACTTTATCCAGATGGTTTGCAATCCCCAGGGAAACCCTTGGCTGACTATGCCTGCTTTCAAAATATTCAAATTAACAGACTCTTTCGGTGCATATATATCACTACCGGACTCTTGGGCTTCTCTTCAACAAAAGATCATATTGATTACTTTTCCTGAGGCCACGCTCCATTGTTTGGATGAACACTTTGAAAATAAATACTTTATACCTGACTCTTTTAAATAGCCTATCCCATTTTCCCATTAGACGCACTTGTATTTTTCAGACCATATCCCAGGTTTTGATTCTTAATATCTAATTGTAGCCATGGAGTACTCTCTCAGCTCTTCACATCTAGACATGTGGCATTATTGGGATGTGTAGCACTTCTCTAAACATCCCAGTTGTCATCATTTATTAAACAAGAGCTTTGTATACGATAAGAACGATTAAGAATTAAGGGGAAAATAAAGATTTTTCTGCTAGATAAAAGCTTACTATTTTAGTACATCCATACCATGAAATATTATTCAGACATAAAAATAAATGAAATATTAATACATGTTACAACATAGATCAACCTTGAAAACATTATGCTAAGTTCAAATGGAATCATACTGTAAGATTCCATATATTTGAAGTGTCTAAAATAGGTAAATCCATAGAGACAGAAAGTAGATTAATAGTTGCCGGGGGCTGGGATAAGGGGGAAATGAGGAGTGACTGCTAATAGGTATGGAGTTTCTTTTTGGGGTGATGAAAATGTTCTGGAATGGTATGTCCTCTTAAATATACTAAAATCACTGAATTGTACATTTTAAAAACTGAATTTTATGGCATGTGAATTATATGTCAATTAAAAAAATGCTTACTATTTTAAGATAAAAGATCTCTATGAAACCTTAAAAACATGGTCATCACAAAACTGGGGTATGCACTATTACGGGTTACATAGTAAATGGTATCATCACTTCCTAGCTGAGTGACTTTGGGTAAGTTTCCTTATCTTAAAATGGGACTGCTACTAATAATACCTTTCTCACAAAGTTGTTTCAAGCACTAAATGTGATAATGTCTGAAAGCACTAACCATAGTGCCTGTACAGTGCTCACAGGAAGTATTTTTAGGTGTAACTAAACATTTGCATTCACATAACTATCAGGTCACATTTGGCATGAGGTTTGCTTAGAAAGACATAGGACAGGAATCACAGTTTGCCACGACGGCGGCATCCAGCTTTGGTGAAATTACCCCTCCTTTCAGTGTGTGCACCAGTCCACGTAGCCATTCAGGAATTATTCTGTTTGGTTCTCTAGGTGACAGATCTGGGTGAGGGAATGAGATATGTGCAGGGGCAGTCTCGAGCCCTAAAGGAGACTAAAACTTATTACACCTCCACAGATAGTTTCCAGGGTCCTTGCAAGAGACATGCCCAGATACTGAAATCACCACACTATAGAAGTCCAAAGCCATGGCTTCTCCATCAGATATTTGTAGGTCATTTGTAGTTTCTCCCAATCCTAATGCAATTTACCAATCAGGGTTCATAAGCAATGTTACCTAGCAAGACAATTGATATTGTGTCTTTATCAGGTTTCCTTTGGAACACAGACCTAGGAAGTGAAGCAAAAGTCCAGTTTTCATGCAGAGGGGAAAGGTTTTTATTTTTATTTTTTAAATAAACGCTTTATTCACAGCCTGATATTTACTAGGTGCTCAATGAACGCGAACAGTTATTCTATTTTTACCTGCCCAGATAGGACCTTTCCAGATCTCCCACTGTCTGTAACCCCTTTAATAACACCTACCAATTTCTGGGAGATTTTAGCCTATATGTCATACATCTAAGTTATAAGTCATATTCCAGAGCTTAAGTTACTCCTATGTAGGCAAAGTGTTATATCCTTGCTCTTCTGATGGCCTTGCTCTACGCAGTAGTGTTCAGCCTTGCACCATAGTTCCTCACCAGTGTGTCCCCCTCTTCTGAGCATCTGCCAGTCCCCAACAAACACTGTCAGTGCCATTCCAGGCACAGCAGGTTTTTACTGGTGCTTTCCCTGAGCTGGCCTCAGGTTTGTGAGAATTCTTGATTTATCTCAAACTGTGGAAAAATGACCTCCCTTTGGACACCCAGAGTGGTCCCAAAACAGCATTACTTTGGCACCAATATATTATAAGAGTTTATTTATAAAACAGTTCCTTGAGTTATTACATACATCCTTTCTCCTAGAGTGTATCCAAGGAGTCAGGCTGAGGGTAATTTTGAGTAATAATTGTTACGTTGTACCCAACTTTCCTGTTTCTCTCCTTCACTTTGGGCTTATCAAGTCAGATTTCTCAGGTTTCTCTCCTTTCCTAGGGATGAATTCTTCAGTACCTATTGCATCATCAGTTTCCCAAACACATAGAGAGACTTTATTAGGCTGATGAAGAAATGAAGGCTTGCTTTATGCTTTTGTCTTTATTGTCATCATCTCTCCAACAGTTGCAAATCCTGGTGGTGTAATGGTTAAGAGTTCGGCTGCTAGCCAAAAGGTTGGCAGTTCGAATCCCCCCAGGTGCTCCTTGGAAGCCCTATGGGGCAGTTCTGCTGTGTCCCAAAGGGTCGCAATGAGTCGGAATCAACTTGACGGCAACGGGTTTTTGTTTTTCTCCAACAGGAAGAACATTCCACAGTTGCTCTTCTTATGCCTTACCTTAATGTCAGTCATCAGCAACACTGTCGGGGGTTATTTCTCAAAGCAGGATTGTTAGGCAAACTATGACACTATTCGATACAGCACTTGAGATGGGAGTACTAGCTGTTCACTGGATTTTAATTTGTAGTTTGAAGGAGACTAAAATACTGATTCTTCTCTTGGGTTTCCATTGTGAGGGCATAGTCCGTACTCTGTAGGAGAAACTCATTTTCTATAAGCCTGAAAACTAAAATCATAATAATTGCACTTTGTATTTTACAGTGTGTGGACCAGTTGACAAAGATCCAGACTGAATTACAAGAGACAGTAAAAGATTTAGCTAAAGGCAAAAAGAAGTACTTTGAGACTGAACAGATGGCTCATGCAGTACGAGAGAAAGCTGACATCGAGGCCAAGTAGGTCTTTTAGCGTTTGTAAAAAAGATTACGCAAATAAGTGCTATCTTTGCTGATACTTTGTTATCTGATAATACAGATAATACTCATTCCTAGGTTATGTTGGTTTTCTTTGATCTACAAATTTCACTTACTTTAGGTCACATTTTTTAATATTGACAATTTTTTTTAATCTAAATTAACATAACAAAGTGGGAATATTTGATTTTTCACATTAAACTGAATTTTGAAAGGGAAAGACGATAATGTGAGTATTGTATTTACAGAGTTGAAAGCTTAGCAAAAGTCTAAAGTTGCTACAGTGTCAATATTAAGGTTTCAGAATCTCATTTTACTCATGCTAAATTCCAAATCAGTGGAAATGACTGCGATCCTCAGGATGCCATTGACCATGGAGACATCAAGTAAACAAGAGCACTGACCTCAGTATAGAAAACCTGCCACCAAGTGAAATTTTTACCTCATACGTGAAATTCTAGTATATGTAATTTTTAATGCCTTTTTTTATGAAAATGAATTTTAGATCATAGTTAACGTTGCAAAAATATGCTATTAGCATAAATAAATAATAAATATTAATTTTGGCATAATTTTTGTTTTTGGGTGAAACTATGATACTCTTCACTTAATTTGGCTTTTAAAGAAAGATCATAATCTTCTGATATGTAAATAATTGTTTTTTTCAAGAGCACATCCTGTCAAGAGTTTGTTGATTTTCTCTGCTCTAGTTGTTAAGTAGTCTATCAGATCCTCATTTGTCAGGATCTTTGCCTGTGATTGGAACAATTTTCCAACATTTTTTCATCAACTTCATGAAATCTGCATCTTCTCCAAAATGTATGATTGCTCTTTGTCATTGGTTTTCTTTTTTTTGTTTGTTTAATAATAATTTATTGTGTTTTAGGTGAAAGTTTACATGCAAATTAAGTTTCCATTTAACAGTTTTTATGCAAATTTACAATGTGTCAGCATTCTCATTATTTCCATTCTATTTGTTCTGTTTACATTGAGCTCTCTTCCCTTCCCCTCCTTGCCTTCTCATCTTTGCTTTTGGGTAAATGTTGACTGACCATTTGGTCTCATATAGTTGATTGTTTAAGGGAGCATATTACTCACAGGTGATATTGTTTATTTTATAAGGCATTCTGTTATTTGGCTGAAAGGTGACCTCCAGTAGTGGCTTCAGTTCCAAATTCAAAGGGTATCTTAGGGCAATATTCTCAGAAGTTCCTCTAGTCTCTATCGATCCAGTGGTTCTGGTCTTTTTTAGGAGTTTGTATGCATATTTTATCAACTATATAAATTTCATTTTCAATGTATGTGAATTATAAGACCTTTATTTTGAGAATTATTAGGAAAAAGAACTGGCAGTTGCTAACAGAAAGAGATATAAAGCAAGCTATAAAGATTTTTGCGTTGACAGAATCCCTGCTTTTCACAGAACTGGACTGTGAAGGGATCTGTGAGAAGGAAGGTAGAGATTCCTGTTAAGTGAGTGCACTGATGCAAAATCTAAGAGTCTGAACTCCTAGTCATGAAATCAGAAAGGTTCTGAACACTTATACAAATAGACTGGCAAGGAGAGGAGTGTCTTTCTAATATATTTTTATATGCAAGAAGTATTAAGCAACTTGGTAAGCATCTTGTGAAAACTCAAGGACCCCTGGAAGGTTTATTTAGCATCAAAGGATGGTAAGTGAATACTCACTGTGACTGGAAATCATATTTAATATTTTTCTAATTTAGTTTTATCTTTATTGTTTCATTTTTGTGAGCGTACAAATACAAATCTGTACTTTCATAGAGTCACTGAGCCCATCTTGCCAATAAGACCTGAGTTTTTATATTGGGACATCTCCATTAGGAATATCCTGTCACGGTGGTTTTCAGGTACATGTTTTTTAAACCTCAGGGATTCTAGAGCAGGGAGTTGACGGATTTGTAGAGTATATAAATGCCTAATTTAACCAGGTCCCACAGTATGAAAATGGAGACAGTAGTAGGCTCTCCCTAAAAAGTGTGGATCTGAAAGAGTCTCATTCACAGCTGAGCCCTGGCTGCTCAGTGGTTAACCACTCGGCTACTAAATGAAAGGTTGGCGCTTAAAACCCACCAGCCACTCCTTGGGAGAAGGACATAACAGTCAACTTCCGTAAAGATTTACAACCTTGGAAACCCTATGGGGTAGTTCTACTCTATCCTGTAGGGTTGCTATGAGTTGGAATCGACTTGACAGTGATGGGTTTGGGTTTTGTAATTCACAGCTGCTGATTCTAACTCTAAAATGGCCCAAATTAAAAAGGGGGCACAACAGGTTAGATATTTTAGTTCAGTGTGTAACTTTACTGAAAAGTTAACTCAACAATAAAGTAATAAATGCCTTTTTAAAATGTTCATTCATTCAACAAATTTTTTTTTTTTGAGTAATTACTTTATATCCAGTAGTGTAGGTACAGAGATAAATAAGGTAAGCTTTGTGACTTCAAGGAGTTTAAAGCCTAGAATTAGAGACAAATGTGTTTTAAAATGACTTTATATTCTCATTCAAAGAGTGCTTTAAATTACTCAGCTAGTAACTTATAATTTATTTACAGTAGTAAGGTGACAACACTGTTACAGAAAACAGAGAGAAAACGGAGAGCTTAATTTTGTTTAATGAACAGAAAACTTAACAGAAGAAGTGACATTTGGACAGTCTTGAAGAATGATTATGATTTTTCTAAGTAGAGATGAGAAGATCAAGAAGGGGAAATGAAAACTGGACTCCATAAAGTTATGATAGATGATTTCATAGAAGGTGAGATGTATGCATTGGGAGAGACCATAAAAGAAAGAGATAGGTTTGAAAGAGACAGTGAGTTCCATTTTAAATATGTAGATTGTGAAGAGCCTGTGGAACATTGGGGTGAATATGCTTCACAGGGAGTCAAATATTTGGCTCAAAGATAAGAATTGGGTCTCAAGATCCTGCTTTGTTGATCAGATGTCTGTCAGATGATAATTGTTCTTGTTCTTAGGTACCATTGAGTCGGTTCCAATTCAAAGCAACTCTCTATACAGCAGAACAAAACACTGTCCAGTCCTATGCCATCCTCACAGTCATTGCTATGTTTGAGCCCATTGTTGCAGCCACTGTATCAATCCATCTAGTTGAGGGTCTTCCTCTTTTTCACTGATCCTCTAATTTAAGAAGCATCATGTCCTTTTTCAGGGGTTGTTCCCTCCTTGTCTTAGTTATCTAGTGCTGCTATAACAGAAACATCACAAGTGGATGACTTCAAAAAGCAAGTTTATTCTATCACAGTCTAGTAGGCTAGAAGTCCAAATTCAGGGCACCAGCTCCAGGGGATGGATTTTCTCTCTGTTGGCTCTGGAGGAAGGTCCTTGTCATCAATCTTCCCCTGGTCGAGGAGCATCTCTGCTTAGGGACCCTGGGTCCAAAGGACACACTCTGCTCCAGGTGCTGCCTTCTTGATGGTATGAGGTCCCCATTCTCCTAGTTCATCTGAGTGGCGACTCCACCCTTTGAGACTGAGACAGCTCTGCTTCCTGTGTTCCTTGTCTCTTCAACTTCTGCTTCCTGGTTTCTTGGCCTCTCGGCCCCTCAGGCCTCACGGCCTGTTTCTGCCCTGTTGGAGCAAGTGTTCCAAAGCTCTGTAGCTCCACCAATAAGTGCCTGGAGGCACACCACTCCACCAGGAAGCCTCCTGTGCAAAGGCACTCAGCTCTCTCACTCTGTGGGTCAGCTCCAGTGCTGTCTCATGCTGGTCTCCTGGCTCAGCTGCTGCCAGTCCTCTGCTGGTGCCGTTGACTCTACAGTAACAGCTTTCCTCATTTCCTTCTGAATCTTTACCAGAATTGTCTGACATCTGTAATTCCACCAACAGTCTCTTCAAGGCAATCTAGGCTTGTACTGTTTGGCAGTTTAACACTCTTCCAGCCTTTATCCGTTTACGTTTCAAAACTGCTTCCACATTTTAGGTATCTTGGTACCAGATTCAATCTTAGTTATCTGGTGTTGCTATAACAGAAATACCACAAGTGAATGGCTTTAAAAAGCAGAAGTTTATTTTCTCACAGTTTAGGAGGCTACAAGCCCGAATTCAGGGCACCAGCTCCAGGAGAAGTGTTTCTTTCTGTGTCGGCTCTAGGGGAAGGTTCCTTGTCATCAGTCTTCCTGTGGTCGAGGAGCTTCTCATCGCAGGGACCTCATACTACCAAGAAAGAAGCACCAGGAGCATAGCACATCCTTTGGACCTGGGGTCCCTGCACTGAGAAGCACCTTGACCAGGAGAAGATTGATGACAAGGACCTCCCCCCAGAGCCAACAGATAGAGAAAGCCTTCCCCTGGAGCTGGCGCCCTGAATTTGGACATCTAGCCTCCTAGACTGTGAAAGAATAAACTTCTGTTTGTTAAAGCCATCGTCTTGTCATATTTCTGTTATAGCATCTCTAGATAACTAAGAAACTCCTGATAACATTTCCAAAGGACGTGAGATAAAGTCTTGCCATCCTCGCTTCTAAGGAGCATTCTGGCTGTACTTTTTCCAAGACAGATTTGTTTGTTCTTCTGTAAGTCCGTGGTATATTCAGTATTCTTCACCAACACCATAATTAAAAGGCATGAATTCTTCTTCGGTCTTCCTTATTCATTGTCCGCCTTTCATACACATATGAGGCAATTAAAAATACTGTGGCTTGGGTCAGGCACACCTTAGTCCTCAAAGTGACAGCTTTGGTTTTTAACACTTTAAAGAGGTCTTATATAGCAGATTTGCCCAGTGAAACATGTTGTTTGATTTCTTGGCTGCTGCTTCCCTGGGCATTGGTTATGGATCCAAGTAAAATGAAATCCTTGACAAATTCAATCTTTTCTCCATTTATCATGATGTTGCTTGTTGGTCCAGTTGTTTTCTTTATGCTGAGGTGTAATCCATATTGAAGGCTGTAGGCTTTGATCTTCATCAGTAAGTGCTTCAAGTCCTCTTCGCTTTCAGCAAGCAAGGTTGTGTCATCTGCATATCGCAGGTTGTTAATGAGTCCTCTTCCAATCCTGATGCCGTATTCTTCTTCATATAGTCCAGCTTCTCAGATTATTTGCTCAGCATATAGTTTCAATAAGTATGGTGAACGATACAACCAACACACATCTTTCCTAATTTTAAACCGTGCAGTATCCCCTTGTTCTGTTCGAATGACTGTCTCCTGATACACGTACAGGTTCGGAATAAACGCAAGTATTCTGGAATTCCCATTCTTCTCAGTGTTATCCATAATTTGTTATGATCCGTACAGTCTAATGCCTTTGCATAGTCAATAAAACACAAGTAAACATCGTTCTGGTATTCTCTGCTTTCAGCCAAGATTCCTCTGACATCAACAGTGATATCGCTCGTTCCCCATCCTCTTCTGAATCCAGCTTGAATTTCTGGCAGTTCCCTGTCAATGTACTGCGGCAACCTTTTTTAAATAGTCTTCAGCAAAATTTTACTTGCGTGTGATATTGTTCAATAATTTCACATTCTGTTGAATCACCTTTCTTTGGAATGGGCACGTATATGAACCTCTTATATGGAAGACAGGTAGCTGTTTTCCAAATTTCTTGGCATAGACAACAGAGTACTTCTAGTGTTGCATTCGTTTGTTGAAACATCACAATTGGTATTCCGTCAGTTTCTGCCTGGAGCCTTGTTTTTCACCAATGTCTTCAGTGTAGCTTGGACTTCTTCCTTCAGTACCATTGGTTCTTGATCATATGCTACCTCATGAAATGGTTGAACATCACCCAGTTGTTTTTGGTACAGTGATTCTGTGTATTCCTTCCATCTTCGTTTGATGCTTCTGCATCATTGGACATTTTGCCCATAGAATGCTTCAGTATTGCAACTCAAGGTTTGAATTTTTTTCTTCAGTTCTTTCAGCTTGAGAAATGCCAAGTGTGTTCTTCCCTTTTGATTTTCTAACTCCAGGTCTTTGCACATTTCATTATAATGCTTTACTTTGTCTTCTTGATCTGCCCCTTTAATCTTCTGTTCAGCTCGTTTACGTCATCGTTTCTTCTGTTCCTTTAACTACTGTGTGTTCAAGAGCAAGTTTCAGAGTCTCTTCTGACATTCATTTTGGTCTTTTCTTTCTTCCCTGTCTTTTTAATGACCTGTTGCTTTCTTCATGTATGATGTCCTTGATGTCATCCCACAACTCGTTTTGGGTCATTAGTGTTCAATAGGTCAAATCTATTTTTGAGATGGTCTGTAAATTCAGGTGGGATATACTCAAAGTTGCACTTTGGCTCTTGTGGACTTGTTTTAATTTTCTTAGCTTCAACATGAACTTGCATATGAGCAGTTGATGGTCTGTTCCACAGTCAGCCCCTGGCCTTGTTCTGACTGATGATATTGCGCTTCTCATCGTCTTTTTCCACAGATGTAGTCAATTTGATTGCCGTGTTCCATCTCATTAGATCCATGTGTATAGTCACCGTTGCATTGTTGAAAAAAGATATTTCCAGTGAGAAGGTCGTTGGTCTTGCAGAATTCTACCATGTGATCTCTAGTTTCAATCACCAAGGGCATATTTTCCGACTACTTTTCCTTCTTTGTTTCCAACTTTCACGTTCCAGTCACCAGTAATTATCAGTGCATCTTGACTTATGTTTGATTTCAGACTGCAGAAATTGGTAAAAAAAAATCTTCACTTTCTTCATATTTGTCATTAGAGTTTGTGCATAAATTTGAATAACAATAGTTACAGGGATGAAGTCATATAAATATTATAATGAGATTAAATGTTAGCGTTTACTACCATAAGAAGCATTAACATTTGAGGGGTAGTTGGGGGAAAGGAGACCCCAGTATAGTTCATTATTTGTATATGTCTTGTTTTTTCCAGATTGTAATCTTTGAGGAGTAACTGTCTTACTGTATCTATTACTAATACTTACCTTAGTACTGCACAAGAAGCAGAAGCTAGAAACTTAAAACCTTACATTGGAAAATCTAGGTGCAACTCAGCCTATTTGGAAAATCACTATAGGAAAAGGAGAACTGAGAATACCCCACACTCTTTCTTACCCTAAATAGGCTTTCTCAACCCTTGACATTTGTGATCTTTGCTTTTTTAGATCAAAAATTAATAGAAACCTGCTTAATAAAAACAAACAAAAAAACCGATGAAATATGAATATGACAAGGAAGAAAATAACAAGGATATCTTCGACCCAATATTTTTAACAATAAAGAAATAGTTGAAATGCATACGTGTACATCCTTGAATGTTTTCTTTTTTTTTGAAAGATGAGCGTTTTCTTTTGCTATCCTCCTTACATTTGCTCAGCAGAGACTGGCTGCTGAGTCTTCCAATCCCAAGTGGTCTGCAACTTTACTTCGCATTATGGCATACCTGCAGCACATGCATTGATTTCTCCCATCTCAATCACTATGACACTGCAGTTAAGACAAACATTGCAGCTTCAAAAATCACTAGTCATGGGAGGATTGATTGTTCCTTAGCATTTTGGCTCTTGACTTGCTCCTTATTGTTATTTCTAGTTGTTAGGTAAAACCAACATTTTTTTACCACGTTTTGTTAGGTTATGGTTTCCCTCCAAAGTTGAAAGGGATCAAGGGGGATAAGGATACTAGAATGGGAGAAGATTCTTGGGAGAAAACAAAATCATGTAGGATAGAGAGTCCAAGGACTTTCTCACTATGTTCTGAATACCCTTAAGAGTGAGGGGGGCATACAGATAGGAGCCTAAGCAAGAAAAACTTTTAATGGAGAAGTAATGGAATTAAAGACTGTCGGTTGGTGGTTCCTGGATTTTTCCAGTTTTCCTTGCAAAAACTAAAGTGTGAAATTGTGTAATTCTGAGAATAACCTGTAGGTTATTTAGGTTATTTATATTGACTCTTGTTTATTAGGAGATACCAATATATGTTGAAGTTTTCTTTGTCAAATTACATGTTTGTCATTCACGATATTTTATAATATTAACCCCAATTTTCCTGCTTCATTATAATATTAAATTATTCCTATAATAATCATCGGGCTTGTTTTCAATTTTTTAAATTCTCCTTTAGAATATTTTCTTACCAAAAAAAAGGAAAAAGCGGTCATTAAAATTTTTTTAGTAATTATAATATTTTGTGATTTTATTATGATGTAATTTGATAATTTTATTAAACATGCTTTTCTATTTTTATTATAGATCTAAACTTAGTCTTTTTCAATCAAGAATCAGTTTACAGAAGGCAAGTGTAAAGGTGAGTTTTTGAAAACTTTCACAATCGAGAATTTCTTAGACTATAAAGTAAGAAATTGGGTCTTTTGCAGGTGCAAGTAGATTATTTCTACCTTAGGGAAGAATTTTAAAGTCATTAACTCAGGGAGAAACTTCCCTTCCCAGTTCATGAGGGTTTTCACCGAAGTATCGGCACTCCGGACACTCCTTGCTTCTCAAGATTGCTTCAGGGATAGGTTTCTATACCTTACATGCACTGGTAGCCTGTTGTCTTTAACTCTTAGTCCAGAAGACTTAGTCCACAGGCTTTAGAAAGCTGTATGAAATCCATTTCATTCAGACTTACATCGCTGAGGAGATATTCTGGGCTGAGTGCAAGTGAGTTTCTGTGAGATCCTCACTCGGTGGCATACAGATAAGTAAGCTTAGTGACCTGGCTTTGGCTATCACACTTCCAACTTGCATGCAACTCTTCTGGCACATTAGAAGTGTTGATTTTTTAAAAAAACTACTTTTACCGTGTCTTTGAAAATAAGGTACTTACTTAATTTGGGAACCTTTATTTTCCCGTATCAATAAAATGAACAAAATATTTTGAAGTTCTCTATAAAGCTTTAGAAGTTTGTTAAATGTAAATTTAAAAATTGGAAACAGTCTTAGGACATGTAACAGTTCTATTCACAGTTTAATGCTGCAATAGTGTTGAATAATTTTTATAAGCGTGCAAATGTTTTCCCCCACGTGGTAACATTTACTTTTGGTGGAGAGCCGTTAATTGCCAGCTGAGAATGGGGTATCTGTATATGTTTGCAATGCAGTATCAATTTTTACTGATTTTTTTTCTTTTACTATGTTTTAGTTAAAAGCCCGACGATCTGAGTGTAATTCCAAAGCTACCCACGCGAGGAATGATTATCTTCTTACATTAGCAGCAGCAAATGCACATCAGGATCGCTATTATCAAACAGATTTGGTTAACATTATGAAGGTAACACACCCTTAATACCTGTACTGATTTTGTTTCATTCAAAAAAAAAATTACAAGTTGGATGTTGCTGTTGGGTATATGGGATTGAGTCTGTAGGAAGAGTAGCAGCCAGGTCATGGTGGCATTTCATTGGAGTATACTTGATGTTGTTTGAGTGACCTCTGTTTCAGGTGATTAATTTTTAGTGTAAGAAAACGTTTTAAGCCAAATCACAGTAAAGGATTATATTATTCCCTAGCAGCAGCAGATATTTACTATACAGTGGTTATTGATATTAACAATCACTCTTAGACTGAAAAACTGCTTCTGAGCTATCTTTCCTGAGACTCAGTTCATTGGTAACAGCAGAGTACTGAAGTTAGGCAAAATCTTCAGGTAGTTTCTGAATCAACAGAGAAAGACTGGTATTTTCAGCATGGTTTTATTTTTGTTTGGTTGTATCCTTAAGGAGCCCTGGTGGCGCAGTGGTTAAGCATTCGACTGCTAACCAAAAGGACAGCAGTTCAAATCTACTATCCGCTCCTTGGAAACCCTATGGGGCAGTTCTTCTCTGTGCTGTAGGGTAACTATAAGTCAGAATCGACCTTTTGGCAACAGATTTGGGTTTTTTTTGTTTGTATCCTTTTATCTTAGTTTCTTCATGCTACTGTAACAGAAATACAACTAGTAGATGACTTTAAAGAACAGAAATTTATTTTCTCACAGTTCAGGAGGCTAGAAGCTGAATTTAGAGCATGGGCTCTGTGGAAAGGCTCTCTCTGTCCACTCTGGGGGAAAATTCTTATCTCTTTCACTTCTCTTCCCCGGTTCCTTGTTTATCTCCATGTGGCATCAGTCTTTCCCTATTTGTACTTTCTTGCTTCTGTGCCTAAACTGTTCTTTTTATATCTCAAAAGTGATTGGTTTAATACACACCCTCATTCACATAACAAAGGAACCCCTATTCCCAAATGGGATTATATCCATAGATATAGGGTTTAGTATTTACAATACGTATTTTGGGGGAGGACACAATTCAATCCATAACACTTTATATTCTGAAAATTGGATTATATTTTTATATTTTCTTTCTCTAGTAACCTGAATTCTTTATTAACCAGAATATTGGCCATCAAACATGTCTGATAATAATTATGTGGCTATTTTTACATTAACCTTATATTTTAAAAATTTCTTAATTGATAGGTAAAATAGTGCAATAGTATTTGATGATTTTGAGGTGCCTTTTGACCCAACGGCAACAGTTGTTTATGGGAGAAAAAAGAGAAAATGTCTACTAGTTGTATAAAGATATCTCTATTCTGGGTATTACTCTGAAATGTAGAAAGATTAGATTACCCAAACTTGATCTTGGTCTCTCCCTATTTGTGCTACTATATGTATCTTTGACTTTCACTAAGAATCTGTATAGAAATAAAGGAAAGGGGGGATAGAAGAAGAAAACCTTTTAACCTGCTGCCAGGTTCCCCCTTGTTGCCAGCAGACAAACTCTGCTATAGATTGTATCTTATCACCTCCTTTCTTCTCAAGGACCCCAAACATTTGATTGCTCTGTCTCTCTCTTATGTTTTCAACCCATCCATCCCAAATGTATTGTTCTTGATGACTATCAAACAGAGTGCCTTAGTTGAATTGTTTTCTTTAGGAATCAGAAGTGTTGAAAACGGGAATGCAGCAGGAATGAGTGCTCTTTTCTACTGTGGAGATAAACTCTGGTCAGAGAGGACAGGACATCTCTGAGACTTTCAGGGCAAAACAGTAGTGGTAGGGGGTAATGTGGGGAATCAAACTGAACTAAGAAGTATCCTGTTGTAAAATTTTTTACTTTGCTCCTTGTTCACTGTCTGAAGTCCCCCTTTCCTAGCTTCTGTCCTGTCATGACTGGTTAGGGAGACAAGGGATTGTTTTGACATCCCAGATGAGAACTCTACATACATTTTTCCATAAAATGTTGGACCTAGAGGTTTAGGTGTTTTAGTATATTATGAGGTGTTACGTACTGCTTCAGATTTACAAGGAACAACTGGAGACTTGGCCTTCCATTATAACATGGTTTTTCTAGGGAAAGATATGTTTAAAACAATTTGAAACAACTAGTCTATTAAAGACGAGTTCTAGCACAGCTTGCACTTCAGGTATAATTTCCTCTATACTGTCTACCATTAGATCAAAACTGATAACTATATATTTTTCCCTTCAAATACTTTAAAATGAATATTAATTAGCTTAAGCAACAGCAAAAACAAATTTCTTATGTTTCTTAATGGAATCCACAGCCTAAAAAGATCTCTTACTTAGAACCCTATGGTCAAGGACAAATACTGTATGATCCCTCTTATATGAAATATTTAGATTAGGCAAATGCATAGAGACAGAAAGTAGATTAGTGGTACCAGGGGTTAGAGGAAAGAGGAGAGGAGATGTTATTTCTTAATGGGTACAGAGTTTCTGTTTGGGCTGATGAAAAAGAATTGGGAATAGATGGTGGTGATGGTCGTATAACATTGTGAATGTAATTAATTCCATTGGATTGTACACTTAAAAATGGTTCATATGTCTGGGGGGGGCAAAAACAAACAAACAACCTCATGGCCTTTAGTGAACTAGGGAAGGTACATTATTATTTGGAGGATCTGCCCTTCACCAAAAACAAAGAGGAAGTTAATGAGCCTGGCCAACTCTTAGATTATTCTATGTCCTTGAGCTTAAAGTCCTCGTGCATGTCTTTGGTCAACATTGGGTAGATCGTGCTTCAGATTATTCATTTCTTAAAACATTGTAGGGTACTGAATTGATCAAAATAGAAACAGGAGTTCCTCCTGTCCCTTAATAATGAGAAAAATATATTATCATTTTTCATGTTGTGTATATTAACTAATTTTCTTCCTCATGCTTAATTCTATAGTCTATACTATAGGAAAACTCCCACTGATTATGCTATTACCTACTTAATAAGTTTGTCATTGAATTAACAGTGGCCCGTAGATGCCTTTCTTGGAAATGTCCATTTTTTGTCCTGTTGTTAAAGTGAAAATGTCCTGGTTAAAATCTTTTAAAAATTATGTAGATTGGAAGCAGGGAATTTGATGTATTGATGTAATCATGCACATTGAATTGTTATTTACAGTGTGGTAGCTACTGGGCTAGGCATTGGGAAGAGGCAAAGATGAATAGAAGCAGTCCTTATCCTCTAAGAGCTCAGTCTAGTGGAAGAGAAAGACTTATAGAAATGATAACAAATTAGAATAATGAAACCACTTACTACTAGAGGACTGTTGACTGTGGGTAGTAATAATAACAGCTATCCTTTTTTTTCTTAATATTTCCCTGGCATTATTTTCCTTTCTCATTGTCTTCCTTATCTTGGTTAGATTTCATATTTCATTATTTAAATAATACTCTAGTCTATACTCTAATATTTGCCTTCTTGCAAATGAAGTGAAATTCCAACTCTGAATGAGCACAGATAAGTCTTTTTCTGTATCTGCATCTAAGTAGCCAAGAACTGAAGAAAATCTTTCAACAGAGCAGATATACAATTATAAATTAATGGTGGAACCAGTCTCAAATGGGCCTTCAACACTTCTCAGTAATCCTACTGTTTTTCCCTGGTTAACTTTCCTACTATTCTTAATAGTTATTTCAACCTTTTCCCTTCTCCTCAAACCTCATATTTACCTGTTCTGTTTCACACTTGGCAAGTAGTCTTTCCTCCTAATTCACAGAGAAAATAACGACATCAAAAGAGAACTCTCTTATTGTTCCATTACCTGCCTTCATCTGTATGCATGACTTCTCCAGGGAGTCTTAGTACAGCTATTCCTTCTATCCAAAGATCATCTTTTCACTTTAGCTTTGGATAGTATCTCATCCCCTCTTGCCTTCTCCGGGACCAAAATGATTAATTATTCTGCCTTCCCCTTATATTTCCTGGACATTCTATCCTTAGGTTTAAAAGATTGTTTAACAGTTGATGGGATCTTGGTGATGACAGCCCTCATTATGTCTGTCTTTTGAGCTACCTTCTTACAGTCTGCTTTACTTGCCATCTATGTTAGATGTGTTGCTGTTATCCTAAGATCTCCCTTCGACATGATGGCAGTTGGTCTTTATGTTTGTCATTATGCTTCCTTCTAGGAGACTTCTTCAGCTTTACATTTCAACTCTTCTATTTGGGTTTTTAATTTTTCGACATAGTTTTAATGTCCAGTTGTTCTTTTTGTTCCCTGAATGTTATGAGGAAGTTATGACAAAGCTTGGATTCAAACCTGGCAGGTTTCTCTGACAGCAGAGTTAGTGCCATTAGCTTTTTATATGATACTAGCTCCTTGGACCTATTTCTCCTTCCCTTGTTAAATGGGGATATTCCTATGCTATCTTATCTTCTTTGGCTTCTTTGAGGAGGAAATGAGATGATGTAAAGTGTTTTTTAAATTTTAGAGCTTGGCATACATATTATATATTTTCTTTTTAAATAACAGAAATTCTATTAATATTACATTATAATTAAATCTTGTTTTGGGGAGACTGTGGTAGAGATCGTAAATGATTGAAAGTGAGAAAGGAGCAACTATTTAGGTGACTAGTATTATTAGATACTCTGTCTAGGTGTTCTTAAGTATATTTCATTTTGTTTTCATAATGTCTTTTAAGCTAAATAGCGTTATCCTTATTTTACAGATCAGGTACCAGAGGTACAGTGAAGTTCAGTTCATACATATAATAGCCTTAAAGTTCCTACACACCATTTCAATTTTCTTGATAGTAAAAATTAGTATGATAAACAGGAGCATATGGTGAATGTCATGGATTCAAATAAAATTATAAATGGGAAACTTTAAATTGTCTCCTGTTCTAATTGTTTGAAAAGTAAAGATCATGTCGGTATCTAAATACACGGATTTAGAGAGGTTGCCCAAGGAATATTTTGTATTCTTTACACTAGTACTGATCTGAAAACAGATACTTAATATCACTATGTGTCTGTGTATCATAAGGCA